CGTGGTGGCAGTGGTGTTAGCGACCCTAATGACTCATGGAGGTCTGCGTGAAAATAAATGTGGTGTTTCGTCTGGTAACGCCACATGTACGCATGGCAATTGTTTGCATGATCTTAACAAATATCACAAACCTTTGTTCCCAGGGTATTGTGTGGATTCCAGTCTAGTCCACAAAGTGGTGCCTAAATGGGCTGAAAACATTCATCTAGATGCCCAAAAAAGACCAAAAAGTTTGGTGAAAAAGAGAGAAGGGTTTTGTAGTACGAAAACCTTAAAGATCACACCAAATGTCTATAAATCAAGTGACTGAATGATCATGGAGCCGCCTTTTTTGTGGGTACATCTCTCTGCAAGGAATGGTATCATCGCACCGCGGGAGCTTGCGGGGATGAACGTCAGGAGCCCTCTTCTCTTGAACTCACCTCTCATGCCATCCAGTGTCGGTTTAAAAAAACCTGAGGGATGGAATTCAAGTTTGTCTTCTTTGTGACTTGCAAAGCAGTTTAGGGACTTCGGTCGCGTTTCTCTGTCAAAAGAGGACGTACTTTTCTAATGGTTTCGTGAGTTGTAATGAGAAATGGCTTTTGTACTAGTTACCTCTTAATGACTCATCAGCTACCCCACCACTCCGCACTTCGATGACACGTTCCACTGCATCCCTAAACCTGTCCACTGGAAGTTGTCTACTTGCTAAATGTCAGACAGGTATGGGTGGGGTCCATCTTCTCGAGGGCAGACAGGTGGAACGTGCACAAGGAACGAACAGAATGCGCCATTCCTACACGACATGACAAATAAACGCAATGCATCCCACCGCATATCAAGACCTCAAACCTACCAGTGAGAAGAGTTTCACTTGAGGATGGAAGGATGATGGAAGTGAATAAAATTTAAGAATCGAGTGAGAAAGATACTAACTCATTCTATTTCACTGTCAACAGTCCACGCATTGACAATGAAACCGTTTATCTCCAATTGATACATAAGATGGTGCCATAATAACGTTTTACTAGTAAGCAATGAGTCACGCCTCTTGATAAACAATATAACTGCGTGACGAGGGTTAGTGATTTGTTAGGCCACGAAATTAATCAAATTGCCTTAGTGTTTTTTTATGCCATAAGGATAAACAGTAGATCAGAATCAAAAGCAGGAGATTTGGAAGAAATTTGAAGGACAAGGAACTTCGATCCTGCCCTCGAGGTTAGTTCGACCGACACTGGATGGAATGAGGGGTAAGTTCAAGAGGTGAAAGGGATAGAGACCGAAAGTGGAGGAGGCCTGATGTCTACTTTTGCTTTTAGTTACCCAGCAATAGTCACGACTTATCTACGGAGGTAGTACAAATAAGCCTTCAGGAGAGGTGGTGATAAGGAAGCAATCTTGACAATGAATGCAACGTTGCCATTGGTGACAAGCAATAATTTGAATAATGCTTTAAGTAAATTAGGAAATAGCTAAAATAATGATCCTTTACCAGAAAAATACATATTGCATTTTTTGATGTTAAAGCTATAAATAACTGAATTTCCTTGTTTTGTGAGTTCATACATGCGGACATACTTGCCAAAAACCGGCTCATCCGGGTCGCAGAAACTGAGCCCGTGGTAGGTGCAAGTGACATGGCAACACGATTCGGTTGGGTGACAGATTCCTGCAGGTGTACTCATGACATCCATTTTACTGTGACCATAAAGGATAAGCTCAGGTCGCATATTACCCGTTAATGTCTGATTAATAAAAAAAAATGGAATCTGGTGAGTTTTCATATTATCATGAATTAAAAAAGAGGTGTCGAGAGTTTTTAACGAAGTTCATTGGTTTCGGTCTCCCAACAGCCCACGCCCAACCAAAGGGAAGAGGTATGGGCAAAAGTGGGTGTCATTCAGGCTCAAGTTCGATAAAATCCTCGTGCCACGCACAAACCTGTGTGGTACGCTAGGATGTGTGGTGTGGTGAGATGTTGCGAAACTAGGCTACACGTCCTATGCCTTTCCTTGAGGAATCAG